ATTTTGCTTTTAATGGTCAAAGTCATGGAAACAAGAAAGCAGCTGGTATCTGTCAGTACCTTTTCATTGTTCTTTCCTCACAGCTGAAGTCTTTTAATCTGTTACGCTGTTTGTAAGCTCAAGAATACATTTTAATAATGGGCCCCGAAGGCCTCAATTTTTCTATGCCTTTGATTCCTTCCTAACTGTATAATTTAGTTCAGGATCATGTTCCTGAGCAAAGAGTACGCCCTCTTGTGTCCTGCTTGTTCAAAACATGGTGCACATGACCTACTACAGGGTATTTGTGACTTTGAAATAATTTTTTTTGCTCTTTGAATATTCAAAGACAGCCCAGGGCGTGTAGTTCTTTCAAGTGTCCCAGAATAGGCACCCATCTGTTCTAGGGAATGCGGGCCATGAAAACATCCCACTGTCAGGCAGGAGACATCTGAAAACATACCCTCCTACCAACCTCAAATTTCATTATAGAATCACCCATACCTGGCACAAAGACAGTCTCGCCAGATTTCTGTAAGATTTCCAGGGGCTTGAATTCAGGGGGCCAGGTGGGGAGCTGTGTCCTAGGATAAATGATGTTGAACCAAGTGATCGCTTCATCCTGCTGGTTCCCTCCTTCGTCTCGTGTCACTTTGATCAGCTCTCTGGGTGTGCTGGTAGGAAAGAGACACCAGCGCTTGTGTCCCTGGACCAAGGCATTCCAGGCACTAGTTCCCAAGGGGTCAATATGAATTCCTGTTCCTGATCTAGGAGGTCCCATCACAAACCACCTACACAGGGGGGGAAGAGAGAGGTTAGTCGCATCCCAGAGATTCCTGCATCTACTTTCCTTGTATTTCTAAGACCTTGAAATTAACATGGCTTTTTATGTGTAATGTTTCTTTGTTTTGGAACCCAAAGAGAGCAATACAACAGTGACTGCAGGAGATCATTAGGTTTGTGCTACAGCAAAAGACATATTATATTGTTTTGCCTTCAGATCAAAAAGAATTGTGGCAACTGCCTTTATAATCTCTTCATGGGAAAAAATTGAAAAAGACAACTATAAAACATATAGATGATTCCTCGTTAGGACCCAGCTATTTGAAGGCCTGAATTCCTTGGTATTTAAGGATGTTCATTATTAGGCCTATACAGCAGCGTTGCTCGTCACAGCAGGAGACTAGAATCACTGAACCAGGAAGTCCCTTTCAGTCCCAGCTGTTCTAAGTTCTCTTTGCTACTCAAACAGCATTTCTAGATCATGAGATCCTAGGCTGCAGCTTTTGTTCCAATAGGAAAGAATATTTGAGGATCCTCAGTAAAGATGCAGAATGATGTTATATAGCTCCCATCTGCCCTGCTCTCTCCTCATGCTTTTTATATAGTGTATCATTTACCTAGTTGCATTCTATTTTCCAGTAGTCTCTGCCAAGATTTGGTAAGTATATTCTCATTCCTATGAGCAAGACGTATTTCTCTCTGGGCAGAGAACTGCATCTGTTTTACAGACTTAAGGGTAACTGCATCCTTACTAGTCTCAAGTTACTCTGGGGCAGAATGATAATATAGGTTGTCACATTAGCTTCTGATAACTTTAGCTGGGTTAATTGCTACTAGATGCCCTCCAGGAAAAAAAAGCCAGTGTTTCTACTTCCACCTGTCTTCTGGACAAAGGAGGGGTTAAGGGGTAAAGCACAGGAAGGAGAAAATAGAAAGTCCCCTTCCAGCAACACCATCAATGCCCTTCAATATGAGGAGCACCCAGCAGGAGTTCAAAGAATGGAGGAAGTCAGCACAGTTGGTAAGTGCAGATTGCCAGTGTTGGACATGCCACCCAAGACTTGAGTGTCAAGCTGCATTCATTCTACCCTGTAAATCAGCTGCAAGAGAAAAAGAGCAGTAGGGTCATAATTCTCTTGATACCATAGTCAATGCTGAATTCAGGCCCTTGTACAGAACAACGTGAGCTCTGCAAGGCCACACGAGTCAGTAGCTGAGTGAGAGTTCTCTGCAAAAACAGATACATGAAGCATCTTCAAGATGCAGATCTTAAGAAATACAATGCAACTGTCAATGCCATTTTTCTGTCTATACCTGGATTTTTCACAGGCTGACACATTAGCAGCTTCACCCTGCCAATGTGCATTCACCTATCCCTGCCTCAAGGTTTACAACTAAACAAACATGAACAGGTTGGTTACAATTATTCATAGCTTGGGCGGTGCTACCCATAGTTCTGACGTGCCACTCTTTTATGGTGGATTATAAAATATTTCACCAGGCTGGGCAAAGTTACTGTATTTATACTTCACCACGCAGTGTTCACAACTGAAATTAACACATTTTATATTTGCTTCAAAGAGGTTAAAAGCCAGGTTTAAAAAAACTGAAACTCTCCTTAAAAGCCTCTGTAAAACTTTATACAGAATGTCAATGCTTAACTTTGGTGCCTGCATCCCTATTTCAACAGGAAGCTGAGCCGTCACGATGGTACTTTTAGTTATCCTACTCAAAACTTTACTAAATATTTTTAATCCATTTTTCTAAATGGATGTAGCATTTAAAGATTAAGCACACTGGAGCACTACTGAGGAAAAGTACTTTTCAGAGCTTTATAAAGTTGTGGGAAAGCTCCAGCTTCCAATATCCCAAAGAAGGAGATTAGCATATGGAAAACCAATTGGGGTGGCTGGGATGTTACTGGCTCAGGATAATTATAATTAAGTTATTTAAGTTTACCTAAAGCCCTGGTTAAGTTTGCATAATACAGTTATCGTAACCAATCCTTATCAGTTACTACGTAACATGTAGTACCATGTACACTTGTGATACTAGGAGCAGCGCCCTTCCTCAGAAGTTGTATCTGATGACAAGAGTAATCTCAGCATTTGCTAATGTCTACAAAACTGGTGTCTAAACAGGTCTGTTTCCAGCGTCTGAAAGAAACAGTGCAGTAAGACTCCAAATAGGCCATACATGAAACTTACTGTCCTGGTACCTTCCTGCTCCATTTACTTAGTTATTTATCATCACTTACTCTGTTATACCTCAGGAGAAAATCAAGTTCTCACATGATCAAGGCTTTAGTTTCAGATCAGTGGAAGACTCGACAACTCAGCAAATGCCATGCAACTCTCCTCACAGTGGCTCTGGATGAGGCTGTATTGCTCATGATGTGAAACAGGTGACAGCAGCATAGGAGAGACTTTTTTGTTAACTAGACAGGCAGGCGCATCTCTTAAGTGGTAGGGCATCCTGGCAAGCAGTGTCACTGTAAGAGGACAATTACCTGGGAGTACCCGACTACCATTAACATTTGAGTTCGTTCTGATCATATGCTAACATGAAAAAAATGGTAGTGTTGGAGTGATGTTGTAGCAGTGATGGTCCAAGAAACATGCAAAAGCCAAGCATCTTTAATTGGATCAACCGCATGGTTGGGACAGACTTAGATAACCTTTTTAATACAATTTGCTGCAAGCTTAGTCCTAACAAAGAAGAGGGGACTCAATATTTTTGGGTTCCCCATTTCACAAAAGCACTTCTCTCATCTGCACTAGACTTTTTACTTTAAATGAATTGCTGAGCGACTCAAATGAGTTAACATGTCTTTGCTAGAGGTCACTAACATGAGCTGTCCAGCCCAGCCTTCAAAAATGCAGTAACTACCCTATTTTTACTTATTAAAGAAAAAATAAAGAAAGAATATAGCTAGCCAATTGAGCTAAGAATGTAATGCCCTAAGACATAAGCCCTTAGGAGGTAGCCTGCATGAGGGGTCTGACTCGATTGTAACTGCTTTTAACAATCTACACAACAGTAAGACACAGCTTGCACACACATGCAAACTTTCCTCAACAGCGTAATGAATACGACCTCAGGGACGACACACAGCCTTGGAGTCACCTTATGGACATTACCAATATTCATCACTAGTGCAAAAAATGGAAAAGCAGACATTATGTGCACTTTTTTTAAAGGAGAATATGAAGCAGCGAGCAGTGTCTTATCTAACACTGAATAACAAAAGCCTGGATCCAAGGTGGCAACTGAACCTGGGAATTTTTAACAACACTTTTGTCTTTCTTCCTGTCAAGGCCAGGGCTGCAGGTTAATCTTAAAATATTAGAAGACGTGTAAAGTTGCATGGAAATTAAAACATCTGGAGCCGCCCACGGGTCGGACGTCTCAGCCCATCTCGCGCCGCAGTACCGTACCTGTAAGGCGGCCTGCGTTTCTCTCCCGCGTACTTGAACAGGTCGTCAGTGAAGAATTTGGGCACATTGTAGTCCTCCAGCAGTTTCCTGCGCTTGGGGTGCTCACCATAACTGCTGTCGAAGATGTAGAGGGGGCTGTCGTCACGCGTGGTCTCCATGTACTCGATGTAATACTTCATCTTCATCTTCACAGAGTAGCCATCGTTGTCCTCTCCGCACTTGAACTTCTGGTTGCGGTACTTGCGCTTCAGGCGCTCCAGCGTCCACTTCTCCTGGGCGGACCAGCCCGCCTGCGCGTTCAGCAGCACCACGGGCTTGTAGGGCTTCTCGTAGCGCTCCACGAACTCCTCCGCCGACAGCTGGAGCGCGTCCGCCCGCTCCACATTGTCCTGCGCGAGCGGGAAGCGGGGTTTAAAAACGAGCGTTACCGGGGCCCGCGTCTTCAGGGGCCGGGACCAGCCCCGCGGAGGGTTATGTTTCCACCTACACTCAAAGCTCCCCCGGGGAAACGCCAGACCACAAACAGGGTCCTGGAAACATTGTTTCTCGTGTGAAGCCCTCAGAAAGCCCGGGCGGGCCGGCGCTGCTCAGCCGCTCCCCGGCGCGCTGGGAGGGAAGCGGCGCGGCCGACACGGCTCCACCCCCCCTGCTCAGCCCCG